CGCTGTCATATCACATTTTTGCAGCTGCCACCTTGCAGTTAAGACATGAACTTAATACAGCTGCAGGAGCTGCATCCATTTGTGCATTGACCTACATGAGCCAGCAGTAGCAAGAGAGTGAAAAATCAGAGAGACAAGGCTGAGTCCTTGTGCTTTAAATCTTTAAGTGACACTAAGTGCTCAGTGGAGAGTACCAGAAGGCAAGGTAAACACAGGCTTTGTCAGCCTTCAGTAAATCATCTCTTGATGGCACAAAGCAAAATCACTCAGTACCCCACAAACTGCTGAGGAAGGTACATCATTCCAGCAAGGACTCAGCGAAACATTTTATGTACCAGCCCCAGCATTTTGGCATCTCAACAAGATGCATGTTAGTGAAATCAGGAACAGTCGCTTTTCAACATCTGGAACAATTTCTGATTCCGTGAGGCTTCTGGGCCTTCTCTCAAGCCTCTTGCTAACAATCCACTTCTTTCACTTGAGCAGCCAGCACTATCCTCCACCCCGAGCTTGGTTCCAAACACAGTCATCCACTTGCATCACATCCAAATCGTTGGAAAAGAGAAACATAAACCCTGAGCAAACAAGTTGCATCTGCAACAACAGGCCTCAAATCTTTATGTTGTTTATGAGGGGTTCCTCCATTTCCTCTCAATAATTCCATCAGCAACTGATGTTCTTAATCAAAACTTAAAGAACCTCCAGCACAGATGAGTCTTCTTACACTTTTAAAGAGCACCCACACCTTCTGCACTGCTACTCATACTGCAGTAACCTGGGTGTGAAATTACAGGCTTAGACTGATCAATGCACAAACAGCCATCACCGAAATCTGTTCTTTTACCACCTGCACTTTTACTGCAAGCCAACAGCCACAAAGCAGAACGGCTTTCAGTGGAATAACTCTGTGTTTAGATGAGAATTACAAACCCATGTTGCAACCACTGCTCTATGAAGCAATTGCTCTGCATCACTACAGCACAGAGGAGAAATCCAGAAAGTTTTTGGGAGCGTGTGGTTCGTCACATCTTGCCCAGCTGCAGGACAGAGTGATGATCCATCTCACTTGAGAATGAACTACAATGCTTGCCCTGGATCCTGACAAGAAAAGAATAACAAGGAACAAAAGACTGCTTTTGAGGTATTTCAGAGTGGAAAGAGCACACTTCACCCTGTTAGAATGACTGTCAGCAGACGCAAAAGCCAACTTCCATGATTTTTGTCATGTATGCATATTCCCATCCCCAGTGCACTACTAGTTTATCAAAGTCCAGACTTCAGCTACAGAAGACTCACTCGCTTTTGTACCCCTTAAAAACCCTGTCGATTAACATGCCCAGAAGACAAGCCCCAAAAAACAAAGTCTGCATTTAAAAACCCCAACTTGCAAAACAAACCAAGGCATAGAATTCTGTACAGTTTTCTCCATGTGAGACAAAGACATGAATATGAATGTACATGAACAGCTGGGGCTCACTGCTACTTATGTTCAAACATGGAACCATACAAAGCCGAGACATCTGAGAACAAAAGGACTTCAGATGACAGAAGAGAGTGGAAAAGGCAGAGATTTCTGTTCCCTTATTTAAAAAATACAGAACTATTTCTTAGGGCATATAGTTTACTCCTTCTAGAAGACTAGAGCGCTTGTTTTTGAGAATAAACTTGAGGGGTTTCAATAACTTTCTATTGTGAACTATGGGAACTTTTACTTCCCATGAATACTTTAAGGAAAACAACTTCCGCACGCCATTGCCTGCAACACTGATGTGTTCAATGTCTGCAGCATGGAAGTTAGCACACCTAAGAGGGCGCAGACCAGAGTTCATATTTATCAGGAAAGCTGTCTGCTTCAGCACACTTCTAAGCTTTTCTCCCTTCCAATACAGCTGGTAGTACCACAAAAAGAAAGCTGGTGGCCTCCAGCCCCTCCTACCACAGCAGCACTGCATCAGCGCGCCAACACCCAGCTGAATTAACACTCACATCCTTGGCAGGCTCAAGGAGTCACAGAAGCATGCCAGTGCCAAGCCCTTGTTGGCAGCGAGAGCTGGGTGAGTCAGGATGCTTCTCCCGCCCCATCCCCATGCTCAGGTGAGATTAGTGATACTAAATCTCCAAAGCACGAAGGAGATGTGTCCCAACTTGACATGCCAGTGACCTACTTTGCAGAAGTGCCCAACATCCACAGCTCCCTATGAAGTCAACAAAAGACAAGGACATACACACCAGTTTTGAAATGATGGGAGTTTTTAACAGAGGAAGCTGGTGACAGCCTCGGGCCAGCTGTGCACATTAGGAGAATCCCATTTAGATCCACGTGGAGAACTGAGGGCACTCAGTACTACGAGTCCCTCAAGATGTATGTGTCTGTTTGGATGTATGTGTCTGTTAATTCAACCCATTTGCTAATAAGGAAAAGAGCACAGATGAGCTACTCCTTGTAGCTCACCTGCATCAGATATATACATTCTTGGATAATGAATGCTGCTGCTCATTTAACTTTCGCCTTCCTAGACAGGTGCATTCTCTTGCAAAATAAAATTATGTATTATTCCAATGTAGCTGTCTTGTATAGAGATACAGACCCAACCTACTTTGCCCTAGTAAGGAATGAGCAGTAGCAAGTAAGATCAGAAGGCAATGCACGCTGTGTAACTCATGTGACTCCAACTAGGAGTCAGAAGAGAAAATACATACACAGATGATGCACACTGAAAAGAAATTAACTCCACAGACAATGTCAAGTTCAGACAGTCTTAATCAACTCCCCTTGAGGTTACCTGTTTCCCCATCTATGCCTTTCTCTTTGAAGAACCTCCATACTCTGCATTATTACTTAGTTTTCATTTTATTCCTGAAAATGTGTGTTACAAACACAAGCAATTCAGGGCTATATCATGTACAGCTATGTCTGCAAGCTATAGCTGAAACCACTTCCGCAGTCTTTAAAAACCAGATAAAACCACTGGTACCACACAAAATACAGACTGGCAGCCAAGCTCCTGCTTTGAAGGATTTACAGTTATAGAACTGTATGATACACTAAGGAACTCCTTAAAGCAGTGTCTAGCTGATGTGTATGTTGAAGCCTAACTTCAGCATCGATGTATCCAGGCACTAGCTACTGAACAGAGGAGAACTGTCTCCACTGTGCTCCCCAGCCCAAACCAGCACCAGTAACAGTCCATCCCTCCAGCTACTCCTCGGCAAAAGTTTCAGAGCATCTCTCTCATACAACCAATACATATCACAAGCTGGTGAGCTCAGCCAAAACTCACTTATTTCCCTAAGAGACAGATAAAATCTCCACAACTGGCCTTTGCAGTTTCCAGGAATCTCTCAAAGCCCTCCACATTCCAAGGCCATGAAACAACAGCCTTAATGCTAACACCAGCAGACAGGTCCAAACAGGAAGAATCTGCAAAAGCAGTGATGTTGAGAGCCTGGTAAATTGTGCTCCAGCCCTAGGTACCCTGAAGCCTCCACGTGGGATTCCCAAACTGCTCTTCCTTCCAAAGTTTTAATCTCTGAATCTTCTAACTACAGTAAAAATGCTAACATGGATGGGAAATGAAAGAAAGAGCCATTGATGAACATCTGCATACCTAAAGAAAGAAAAGGCATGATCACAGCTTGTAGCACCTCAAAGATACCACAACCCAGCCCCACAAGCAAGCACTTTACCTTGGTAGTTCATCTAAACCAAACAACCTGTGAGCCTCCAGACGCAACACCGTACCTCTTGCTTTGATGGAGCTACCCCGTACCACCAGCAAAACCTCAGCCAAGCATCTGGCAGCACATTCAGCAGCAGAGTTCTTTGCAGGTTTCAGCTGCTAACAGGACTCAGCTGGCCTTCGCTAGGGGTTGGAGGTGGGAGGGAGAGAGGGATGTTCTCACTGAACCAGCCAGTTTGGAGAGAGAAACCCCCAGGTTCTGCTTCCCCGCTGCTTTCTTGAGCCTGACATCTCCGGTATTCATGAAGTACAGACCTCTCACTAAACTTTGCCTCTACAAAGAAACACCGACTTGGAACACCAAGCTGTTCTCCACAAACCATAGCTGCTAAAATAACACAAACTAGATATTAAGGTAGGGGGAAAGATTGAGTGAGAGAACCAAACAAGAGCAAATTCATTTTAGGAACACTTTCTTACAAATAAAACAATTTGGCTGAGTAAGCACTGTTCAGCTTCACAACAAATATGTAAAACGTATAAGGAAAATAGAATTGTGGCCATGTAGTGCTGTAAAACTCTGCATCAACTCCCCTTTGCAGAGCACTTGCTTGAAGCAACTCTTCTCCCCTTGCTATGAGGCACGGCAGCTCACTTGGAAACCATAGCTTGGATGAACTTAAGCCATCTCAAATTGGCATGGTTCACGTATCTGACAACTGGCTGGAAATTAATGCACAGAGAGGGCACTGACAAGATAAGAGATACTGACAGATTTTGGGAAAGCTAACAGAGAAATAACAGCAGTCACTCTGCAGAATAACAGGCAGAGATGAACAATCCAAGATGACCCTTGGGAATCACAACACATCGGCCAGCATTGGCCTTTCAAGCAGACAGCTGGGGACACAGTTACAAGCACCTGAGCTGTAAAGAAATTCCGGTTAAAATACTTATTTGTGGACTCTGTAAGAAAAATAAGCTCGTGCTTTGAAGGCCGGCACCTCGTGAGTTCAGCGCTGACACCGCTGAAGGCTGAATTCAGCTTCGGCTCAGGAGAGGACGAGCAGCCTCGGACACGCTCACCTCGCAGCGCACGGCTGAGGGGCCCGGAACAGCGCTCCTTGCAACTGAACTGCAGATCTTATCAACGAGATACGGTATTTTAAACAACTACCGAGAAACACGGAGCAGGGAAAGGGGAACTGGAAGCGCTGTTTCAGCCTAGTCCCGGGGCAAGGTCAAGCAGCGATCCCCGCGCCGCGCCTGCAGCCGCCTCACTGCGGCCAGAACCCCCGCCGCAGCCCGCCGGCCCGCTACCTGTCCTCGGAGACGCTGATGACCCCGTCCTCCTTGGGCACGATCGCTGCCATGTTCACCACCTCCTGCGAGCCCTCCACTTTGTTGAGCAGGAGGGGCTTGCGGGTCAGAGCTTTGGGCTGCGGCTCCGCCGCCATGGGCACCACCGCTGCGGGAGGACAGACGTGCGGGTGCTCGGCAGCACCGCGCATCCCCCGGGCTGCCCGGGAAGCAGGAACCAACGCGGCGGCGGCACCGCCCCCGAGCCGGGCCCCCGAGGGGCGGGCCGGGCCGGCAGCGGGAGGCGGGGCGAGGGGCGATGGCGGCCGGAGGCGTCGCCGTCTCGCAGCGCCCCCAGGGGACGGGTCCGCCTGCGCGGGGTGGGAAACGGGCGAGCTGAAATGCGCTCAGGCAGAGGTGGCCGTGAGTGCAAGGCTCGGCTGCACGCGAGAATTCGCAGTGAAAGGGTCTGCAGGAAAGCAGGGCTTCTCGTATGATGGAAGCAGAAATTCACCTTCAGAGTTCGTCCCTAAGGGAAACGCGACGGGACTCTAGCAGTTGGATTTCAGCAAGCTGCTGCTGCTGCACACTCGCGTTTCCCGTTGGATTTGGTGAGGTCCAAGAGGGTCCAAAGCTCTGTGCTTAAAAAAGCACTTAAGGTTTATACTAAAGTGGAACTTTGGTCATCAATCTGGAGGACTCTGGAAAACGATGTGAGGTGTTGAGCTGTAGTCTTGCATCATAGAAGTGATCTACTGGGCTGGAAAGCTGGAAAGCATTATTTCCTTCTAGCAATCCACGGGAGCATATGAGGAAGGGGAGCCAATTTTTACACGGTATGATAATGATAGAAGAATAAGGAATGGCTTTAAACTAAAAGAGGTTAGACGTTAGGCAGAAATTCTTTACTGAGAGGGTGGTGAGGCCCTGGCACAGCTGCCCAGAGAAGTCAGGGGTGCCCCATCCCTGGAGGCACTCAGGGCCAGGTTGGATGGGGCCCTGGGCAGTCTGAGCTGCTGGCTGGCACTGCCCATGGCAGGAGGCTGGAACTGGATGATCTTGTAGGTCCCTTCCTGCTTGAGCCACTCTATGATTTCAAGTGCAATATTAAATTCACCCACAATAAGGTGAGTACTGGCAGTTCTCCAACGAAAAAAAAAAAAAATTCAAGCCAACAAAACAGTGCTCCTGACTGTCAGTAGAAAAACTGAGGATCTTATGAATTCAGTGAATAGGGATATATTTGTTGTGTCAAGAGAACTGAAAACTAAGCTCCAGGTAATGTTTAGTAAACTGAATGTGTTATGCTAAACAAGGAAGCAGTACCTGCAGGAGCAGAGAGGCACTGAAGCTCTGCTTGACTGCAATACATGGAGTTCACAAGTGTACTGTGGGGGGAAAGGTCTGGTAGGCAACAGATAATGGCTTGCAGGAAATGAATCTGCACTCTCAAGCTATTTCCCAGAGGATGTATGATTGCATTAGATAACATGCCTTTCTCACAATTCATAGAAGGGAAACTACTACCAGAGAAGCAGAAATGCAGAGCAGCCCTGCTACTACTGTGGATGACCTGAAGTTCTAGGCTGGACCTACAGCTAGAAATGCTTGCCTTGCTACTTGATGAGATGTGAGAGGTTTTTTTTGAAGATGTTAATATAATGGATAATTTTCAGAATAGACATATATCTTAAAAATGTCTTTTAAAACAGAAGTCTAAAGAAATCTGGCAAGGGCTGCTCCCTTTGCAGTTTGTTTGTATTCAAGACTTGGCACTATGCACTGTTAGCAGATAAATGGGGGCTGACTGTATGCAGAAGGCAGCATCCTGCAGGGAGACATACAGTGCTTTTTGTCCAACAGACTCCTAAGGAAGTGAGTAAGGGGGAAAGGAGTGTCATACTAAGCAGAGACATAGTAAGAGTGACATAATAAGCAGGTTCACCATGATTCCTATGCATCTTCCAAATTAGCTGTTGTTTTTTTTTGTTTATTTGTTTGTTTTTGTCATTTGCCTATTAAGGTGTTACATTTTCCTATTTACCTTGCCTCTCCTGTATCTTTAAACATTTTCAGACAACACTTCTTCTTCAAGATTTAAGATACTGTTCTTCTGGAGGAAAACACTGTAAGCAATCCGAGATGCACTTTTTGTTTGAATCTCCTTTTTCCAAAAAGGTGAGGGAGAAACTTTTCTTAGTGGCTATGACACAGTTGTTGGGGTGCGCCTGTTGAATGCGGGTTTCAAGGGCTGCTACCAACTACATGCATTTGGATGAAAGCCAAGTAATAATATGCTGAAACAAAATCTATGCTTTTGAAATTTGGGGTTTAAATTTTAAAAATTTGGGGTTTTTTGGCAATAATTTACCCACTGAAAAAACAATAAAAAAGAAGCCAAATCCACAATGCAAGAGGTGCTCCAGTGGGCATGCAGACAGTCAAGACAAAAATTTTCAGGACTTATATTAAAGATTAGCTTTAATGGTGACTTCCTCAGCAAGACTAGAAAGGCACTTGAATAACAGAAAATTAATGGTGTCCTGAGGTCTAGTATATCACTTTATGTTGTGACCAAATCTGAGGTCAATGCTCTAATCTCCCTGATCAGGTAGGGAAATATGCTTGAGATAGTCTTCCATGCAAAGCAGTGTTTGAATGGCTCAGAGAACAAAAAGTGATGCTTGAAAGCTGTGGAGGGAAGGAAGGAAAGCAGTGAAAAAATAAGATCTCAGAGTAAGCCAGGAGCCTGTAGCATACTCCTGTGTTGTACCTGACAGGCTATGGTCATAATGATGGAAAATAGATTGATGAAATTACCAAGATCTGAGTGGTTTTCCAGATGTACAGTTGTCACACGTAATCCATCCAAAAATGATTTGCATTTTAGAATCAGTCTTCTTACAACTACACAAATCAAGGAACAAAAAGACTTCAAGTTAGAATAGCTATACTCATAACTTTAATAACTACTTACAGAATCAAACTGAGGGTAGTTTAGAAAAGCGTTTCCCCCCCAAAAAAGAAAAAAGAATCAAGAAAAGAAATCTTACAAATACTTCTTAGCAGGTTTTTTTCCTTCCATTTTCTATCATAGCTTTATAGCTAAAATGCATGGATTAAAAAGTATTTCTAAGATTATGTCTTGCAGCTAAATTAGAAGCCATGAAAAGCAAGCTTATATACTTCTTTTTCAACGTTCATGAAAAGTACAGAATTAAAATGATTCTTGTCAGGTATGTATTTTTTTGCAGGTACTGCTGTGGTGTGCTTGGAATATTTGGACTTTCCTGTAAGAATCTATCTGCCAGTAACACAGGCTGAAAAACGAGGCGAAAAAAACACTTAATTGCTATCAAATTAATACTTCATCTTTGTATCTTAGTGTCATTTTCTCTTACTGTGTATTTTGGTATGCAACAACAGTAAATAAAGTGTGCTTTTCTCTTAGATTTGGTTGCTGTTTTTGTTTGGTTGTTTGTTTGTTTTTGTTGGTGCAGGTAGACTTTCATCCTTTTGCTCTGGATGGAATGGAACTGGCCTACCTGCCTGCTTGTAAGACTGGCCTCCATGTTCCTGTGCTGGAAGAGGACAGAGGAGCTCTGGGAAAGGGCACTGCGCTGTTTTGAACTGGTGTGCTCACACACCGTGGAGCTGCTTCCATGCCCTCATATCACACTGGAGCCTTGGTTATTTTCTGCGGATTCTCCTCTGCAGTCTGGTTTGAAGCTTGTGAGCTGAAACCAGTTCCACAGCTTCCCTGGTACTCTGCTTTAAAAGTTGCTCTCTGGCTCCATCTTCTGTTTTGTTTGCTGAGTTTTGTTTTTCTTTTCTAGTTTTGGTATAGCAGGGTGAGGCTTTTCTGAGTTTTATAAAGTGTACTTGTTTTAAAAAGTAGGTAATTGCTTCTTGTGTGACAGTTGTGACCATCAGGTGAGCAGGTGGCCCACGGGGACCTGGCCTTTCCCAGCTCTACCATTAGCCCTGGTTTTAGATACTTGTTTCTGCAACACTGTTACTGCTGGTAGAACCAGAAGAAAACACAGCCCCAAGAGAAGTGTTTTCTCTTTTGGGTAACTGTTTTGCAAAATGGTGGCATGATCTGACAACACAGTGACACTTTGCAAACCTTTCAGCTAGAGCTGGAAAGCATTGGGGCCACCAAGTAGGAGTGAGATGACTTCAATAAACAGCTTGAATTTTGTGGATACTAACAAAAACAGTCCTTTAGTTGAGTGCTGTGCAATTATATATGTGTAATATTTATAATACCAGGAACAAGCTTTTCATAAAGAAAAAAAACGATTTTCTGTTGATTAAATTTTAGGCCAGAAGACATGCCCCTGTGAGCTGTGAAGTAAACTGATTGCAGTTGCTCTCACTCTGCAAGAGGAACTAATGTGGGAGAGAAGCTGCACTCTTCCCGATTCAGTGCTTAGTTTCAAAAGTGCTCCATTGACAGCAAGCCAGATTTCAGCTTCCGAAGCCTCTTCCTCGATCACCCATGCAGAACCAAAGGGCTTGTACACACAAAAGGTAAAAACACTTGGCAACAAGTAGAGGCACCTCTCAATAGCCATCAAATGCAGCAGTGGCTTACTCCTGCCCATGATTTTCTACTCTGTTGGTAAGCTAAATGTTTTATCACTTTACACTACATGGGATTTACTGTTTCTTCAAAGCCTGTAGCTCAGTGCAACTGCAAAAAATTTGTCCTTAAAATTCTCTCCTTTGCAGTTGCCTCTTTTGTCAGCAGTGATAGCCTTCATGAGATAGTTACTAAAAAATTGATTTCAGATGTTACATCATTCTTAGAAGCATGTGGGAAATAGATATGGATCCATTCTTCCTATAGAAAGGCAAACTTCACAGAGCACCAAAGGATTCAGTGGGAAAAACATTTGTCCATCTTCCTCAAAAATACAAACTGTTGTAAAACTACACTCTAATTTTGCTCCAGATATTTATCATTCATTCAGTGAACAATACTGCCTATCACATTTCTGATAACAAATCCTACTTGCTTATTATGACAGTTATTAGTTTTATGTGGGCATTCAGAGAATGGGGACCTATCAGAAATCAGATCTGCTGTATACAGAAGTTCTGACAAAAAGAAAGATTAGCTTTAAAACATACGCAAGGCACTATGCATAGCACCTTGCTGAGAAGAAGTGCACTAATTTTTAGCTGCCATGTAATTGCTGTTGGCTTTGTAACTGACTGTGAACATGTGAGAACAAAAAAGTGATGCTGTGTCAGTGTGTGGGCTGCAAATGAGAACTCCTGGCTCATGCATTTTGCCCCATAAGCAGTTCTGGCATTGTATGCAGTCTTATTGCTGTTTCCTTTGTCCTCACTGATCCAACTATAGTATCACTCACATTTTGGGCTTCCAGCTTGGTGTCAAAAATCTCTGTAATTTAAATCACTGTCTTTTTGGTGGAACACTCTGATCACTAATTCTTATAAGCTCATTATTCTTGTATTTTTCTAGGCCTCAGGACTTCAGAACTTGTTCTAAATCTTCCTTCTCTGTGATATTGAAGAATCAATACATTCATATTCTATTTGGAAAATGGATTAAAGTCATCTATGTAACTTGGTTAAAAGGTAAATAAATGTGTCTTGCATAGGCACAAACAACACGAAACTTTGAAGCATTTCCTTTTCTTTTTTTTCTAAAATATACAGTTAAGAACATTTCTAGGGAATATCAAAGAACACTTTTTTTTACAGCAGATTGTGTTTTTTAATTATTTTATTTTTCTTTACTACCAATCACACAGCCCTGGATTTTCCTAGGACAGCAAAATACTTTCAACCAACTGAGCATATAGAAGTCAAGAAGATCAAAAGAGTACTACCTTGGTCATGAGAGGAAGTTTATGAAGGTGAGCAGTTTTCTTGAAGCTGAACCCTTTCGAAGATTACTCCTTACTGCAAATACACAGAAACCTTCGAAGTATACAAAACCAGCATGAGAGTCTTAAAATAAATAAATAAATAAATAAAATTAAAAAAATAGGTAGGCCTTCACTGAAGCCATTAATTTTTTTTCAACTCAACCCTGTAACAACAAGTTTATTTAAAAGCTTGTGTTTTCTGAACCAGGGTAGGTGAACTTTCCCTTTCAGTGGAGAAGAATTCTGAAAAACCATGGAAGTTGAAGTGTGTGCAAGAGCTTGTGGCTCAGTACCATAGGGCTTTCTGAGGAGTTAAAAAAGAATCCCAAATACTTCAAGTGAACTCTTTCAGGTCTTATTCTGTGTAAATGTTATGAGTCACCTTCACTTTAGCAAGTAAGTCAGCATTTCTGGCCCTTACTGAAGCAAGGAGTTTCTCAGTCTGTAAGCATATACATACATTCCAGTGATGCTAGATGTAGATGGGCACTACTGTAGACAGTGTTGTGAAGCATTTAGTTCCTTGACTGCCTCGTGACCCTTCCTGATCAGCATGATTTTTACTCTAGATAGATTTCAATCCAAATATCTGATTGCCTTGAATATCTTGGATTAAGTTCGTAAGTCTATAGTCAGAATCTACAGAGTACACTTTGATTTTGAACTTATATTCCTACCAAAATCAGTTTTGGCTGCTTTGAGCATATGATTTTGGAAGAAGCGTGGGTACGCAGGCAAGAAAGATCTATGAAAATACTTCTTATTTTTAAAACAGCAAACGCTCTAGAGACAAGAGGCCACACATGTTTGAAAGGGAAAACCAGTTATTCAGTTACGTTCTCATCTGTAACTTGATGACCTCCTTGTGTAAAAATACCATCTGACAATTACCTCTGTAAAGACTGAAGAACTGGTGAATGCCTATCTTGTACCTCTGACAGCAAATGAGGAGAGTCCAAATGGGGGAAAAAAAAAGTCCTGGGACTGACTGAAAAAAAAAATGTTTTACATTCTCACAAGTTTAGATTAGAAGCCTGATGTTCAGGCTAAATGGCACCAGCATAGCCTCTGAATTGTATTATTAATATCAGCATGAGGGAATTTTCACACACAGGCTCTAAATAAGGTATCAATGTCAATGAGAAAGGTACTCAGAAAGATCCATATGAGGCCAAGTGACGGTCTGAGGTCAAAAGAACTCATCTGCTGTGTTAGATAAGTTCCCAGTAATAGGAGGGAACAAGGTGATAGTTATTTTTTACTGAACCATAGCAAGAAACACTGTAAGAAATAGCCATGTAAGTGCTTCTTGAAGTGCTTGAATGAGAAGACCTTGGATAAAGGGCAGACAGTAATCATGAGCATGTAAATACCCTCTGTTGTAATGAGTGAGTGTTGGAAAGGAGTTTCCCAATTTGAAAAGCCACAGGGCTATGCATGTATTTATGTATATACTTAAACATGTTGAAAACATAAAATGAAAAAAAAAAAACCTTTCCCCAAAGCCAGAGAGCCTGAGGCCATATATGCAGCAATGAGTTTTGCCCTAGGACAGGTCCACCTCTATTGGTTCACAGATCCTCTCTGTTTTTCAGACCTTGCCATTTCAGTTTCGAGGCCAAACAGGTAGCACACTAACATCACAGAACTAAATTACCTTTTTCCTCCAGTAAAGCCTGATCATACAAAACTGTCTATGGGGAATGGTCCATATTCCATGTTTTCCTCCAAGCCGTGTCCAAATAGCTTTTAAGAGAGTCCTAAAAGTCATAGTGCCAGAACTGCCAGGCAACATGCTCACAATTCAGTTGTTAGAGCTCCGCACAGCAGTGCCTGAGCATTGGCCTTTTCAGTTTACCAGTTGCACAGCAAAAGAAGGCAATGACAGTGCTTTCTAATGGGATACAAGCACTACAGAACAACAGCAGGTAAAAAAGAAAATTGGCTCACCCTTCTTGCAACCAGTGATCAAGAAGAGCACAATCTCTATCTGGAGATATATTGCTCATCTGGCTGCTAACCCTTAAATGAGGGAGAGGAGGAACAGACTCAGAGTCCACCCTGTTCCATCACTCAGGCGCATTGCTTGCAGCTGAGCTCCCTGGGTTAGCCACACCTTCTCACCAATGGTTCTCAAGCATTGGTTCAGGCTGTGACCTGGCAATTCTACTGCATCACTGTAAATGTAGCTGATGATTTTTTTTTCCTGGAGTTTTAGCACCTAACAACAGTTTGGCTACAGTGACCCTAATGCCATTAAGAGCAGGTATCAGCAAGACATCTACTGGGCTTTTCTGCATGTGTGGTGAGGGTCCCAGGCAGCTGCTTAGGAGTCTGAGTGTTGTTCTTGTGATGCCAAATTCTCCAAATTTTGTCACGAATACTTCATCTACTAACAGATAGAAAAGAGAGAAATGTATCAGTGTCTGGTGGTATGCAGCTACCAGCAGTACAATGAACACAACCCCCAGTGAGAAGCCAAAATCCAGATCCTTCCCAAGGGAAATTAATGTGATTTTGCACTAAAAGCTTAAAGGTTTGTAAAAGCCTTTTCGTGTGCAAACAGTCCAAATTCTCTCCACTGCAACTGAAGAGGCAGAAAAACAGATGACAAGCTAGGACAACTTTTCAGGACTAGGTCCTGATCTGAATGGTGATGTAGGAGGAAGGAACAGTTGTCCAGCTGCCATGCAATGTCATAGTGTGTGCACATTACTACTCAGGGCTGATCTGGTTCCAATGTCTCAAAACTCTCTTGTAAGACTACATTTGAATATACATAAAAGTGACAGTCAAATTTTTTCCTACTGTGGAACTCTTTTCCTACTGAACTCTTTAACTCTTCCCCCAACTTAAGGGTTGACTCTATCAGCTCTGTCTTGTTTTTGTAGCAGTGCTTTTTCCTTGAAATTATATTTTGATTCATTTCAGTGTATTCACTCGTGTCTTTTTTTTTTTTTTTTAACCAGAAAAAATGCAAGTATGGACATTTATATATGAAAACATACATACACATAAAGATTCAATGGAGAATGAGGGAGAAATGCCATTTCTTCTAGCCAAGACAATTCTCAAGGGGAGATTTATACACTTTTTATGCTTTGTTTTTTAGAAAGCGGTAACATGCTGTCCTAGTGCTGACTAGCAGAAGAACTAAAAGTTCTTGGACCACCAGCAGCAAGAAATCACAGAGTTGTATTTACAGAAGCCATTAATTGTCCAGACTGTTGGGTAACAGATTCTGATAAACATGGATCATGATATGGTTCTTGAATTATGCAGAGGATTATTTCACAATCCAGAAAACAGAGAATTCAAGCATCGAAATAGCCATACAAAACATCTTACTGCCAGCTGGGGAGGAATTTGCAATAACATCAGAATTACAGGAAAGTTCAGTGCTACTGACAGTGGTGTGCTGGATCACTCTGTGTTGATAAGGAACAGCTTTACTCAGTGGTCACAGTTACAGTCACATACTCCACAAAGTGACTGACATTATGGCAAAATGGGCCATAGCAATTAGAGGAATGTTGTGAAAAAAGCTAACTGGACAGAAGTAAAGCCTACAAATGTCTTAGTGAAAACTACTGTAAAATATGTTGCTACATGGGTAATAGATTTCAATATAAAAAAAAAAAAAAAAGGTACTTAGGAAATGATGAGCAGATGTAGCAGTGGGAAAAGAAAAAAAAAAAGCTCTATGGTGGAAATAGGCTGGAGCATTCCAAAATGAAACATAGATACATAGCACAACAAATCTTAGCTCCTCTTGAGAAAGGAATATTGTCCCTTTCCCGGTAACTTAACTGTTCAGTAGAGGACCACAAGCGAGCCCAGTACTGCTGCCCTTTACTGTAATCAGGTTAAAGGGCTGTCACTTACCTCTGAAATGGGAGCTCAAGTGATATCTGTCAACCTTTGGAAGATTTGCTGGATCAGGAGTTACTTATTAGCTGCTGCTGAAGTCAAGCACAGAGCACAGCCAATCATTGAAAACACAGGGAGTGAAGACTTGTCAGGGCAAATGAGCAGTTTCAGCTTTTCTCTCAGCCAGCTGTGGAGAGCCACGCTGAGTATCCAAGATAAAACATCAGGAAAAAGATATTGTAACTGATGAGATAGAGAGATAGAGATAGAGTAACTAAAAGATGAGATAGAGAGAACCTGAAATAGAATACATGAATGAAGAATTGATCAAGGAAAATGAAATAAATTGGGGAAAAAAGTCATGATACTGTGAAAAGGGATGCAATGTATGTCACACTTAAAAGCCTAGATTTGTCTCCTTTGAATTATTAACCTCCGTCTTCCTTCAAGACCACAGTAATGCAGATCAGTGGTAGCTGAGTATTCACAGCTCACATAAACCAGTCAAACATGAACACATACAACAGTGTCAGGGCCCTCACAAAACAGAAATAACAGCAAATAGAAATACCTCAGGAGATGGAAGGAGCAGGAGGATCTCAGGGAAAGCATTACACTCAACGCGCAACCAGCGTACACAATGTACTTTGCCAAAACTGGAGAAGTGTATGCTTAGCATCAGCATGAATTATGGGAAGGGATTTCTTGGACTTTTCGTTTTGGATCAGTGTTTGGAAAATAACCATAAACTGTATATTGACTTCAAAATGACTTACCAACAGGAAAATATTAGAACTGATCCTGAAGCGCTCAAGGCTTTCCGATTGCAACATCGTGAAATTCAAAGCCATCTGCAACAACAAAAGAACCCATTACTGACCAAGCTGCACTGCTGGATGAAGACTGTTATTATGATGAAGAGTTACACTTACAATTCAAGGTTCATTACAAGCTGGTCTCAACTCTCTTCTAAAATTTTCCTTGTGAGAAATGCTTTTGTGATTTCATCTTGGTGAGAATTATCCTTTCATACTTTTCAAAGCAATGTTTTAAGTGTCTTTCCTTCCCATTTGGGATTTTTCTGCAAGAAGTCACTTTCTGCAAGTTACTGCCAAGCAGATTTGCCCACTGTGGAATCCATTTGACTTTGCTGTGCAAGATTTTGGACCTTTTTAACAAGTAAGTTTTGTATCAGGGCTTCAACATTCATCTGAAAGCAGAAACAAACCCAATCTCCTTGTATTTTAAT